AGGTGGGACTACAAATTTTAATATTGGTTGGTCTGTTCTGTAAAATTATTAACAATTCTAAAAAAATGATTTCTAACCATTGATGATCTATAAAGCGTGTTCTGTGAATAAAAAAACTTGAGGCAGGTTTTCCATCCACATATACCTGTAAAAGGTCTTCTATCCATGGATAATATATAATACGTCTTATATTTATAGGGGAAATGAAAAGGTCTACTGTGCATGAAAAACTATAGCAGACCTTATATGTACTAAATGTCTTCCATCCATAAAAAGGCTTATTATTTTTAAAATAAATGTAAAATGTCTCATATTCTTGACATAACGTATAAAAGACCTATAAAGGATCTTTTGTGTGTACAAAACTGTAACAGATCATATAACCAGAGAAAATTTCAAAAAGTCTTTTTCTAAAGATGATCTGTAAAAGTTTTTCTACCCATAGACGAATTGTAACAGGTCTTTTATTAAAAATAACTTTTCCTCTTTACAGAAGACTATCAAAAGGTCTTCCTCGAGAATGTCTTCAGTCTGTAGGCCTGCAAAGATTCAGAACATAATCTTCTATTTTCCCTTGCGCTAATTGTGTAAGCTATAAAATCACCAAAATACACGGACATCAAAAATTTTTTGCTACACTTCCATGATCGGACCATTTGGCTGCGCTACCAAAACACAAAAAAAGAGAACATACAACAACAAATTAATTTTCTCTGGCACATTAGAACATGAAAAATCAACTTTTTGGGGCGTTAAATTCAACACGGCAATAAACTCCTAGCTTTTAAAACCAACCTTAAATTTAGATAAAAATCGCTATAAATTAGTTAAAATGTAACAACAAAGCGGTGATGGTGGTCGTTGGCTGACCATCAGAAAAATGTTAACTGCAATGGAGAAATTGAAAAGTCTAACAAAAATAAGAAATAAAAATTACAACGAGAAAAAATAACTATTAAAGGCCTTTTAATGTACAGTAAGTGATTCATTAAATGCGATAAGAATTCCCATTTTCTTCAGCAAGGAAGCTGAAAATCTTCGAAAAAAAACAAAACTGGAATCAGAAACCTCAAAAAAAAAAAGTTGTCTACAAAACATATCAAATATTGGTTAAGTAGTGCCACAAGTGGTTCACTTGTTTTTTTTTCCGTGGAGTCTTGGCTTTTTCCTATTCTGCTGCAATAGTTTCACATGTCTTGGGAGTACACGCCTTCTTTGTCTGCTTAGGCTTAACTGAAAAAGTGCTGGTCAATGGACACTTCTAAGCCGAAACACCATTTGGGAAAAGGAAAAGAAAATATTTGTTATGGTTTCTCATCAAAAGATAAGAACCTCATTTTGTTGTTGTTTATCTTTATTTCTCTTTATTATATTGGCTGTTAATTGTTTTTTAGCCTATTTGTCTGTCATATCGCATTTGCAGCACTCGAACATTGAGATAAGTATCTGATACAAGTGGCTGTCAGAAAAAAAACTGTATTTGTTTACTTGTTATGAGAAATGAGGTCAATTTTTTTATTAAATCATCAAAAGAATGGGTTTCGGAGATATAAAAAACAGTTTCATGTATCAACAGATTTGAATATTTCTATGTTAATCTTATTAAGAAAACAACAAATTCATTACAAACAAAATTGACAATAGAAAGTATGCAAACTATCAATGTGAAAACAATAAAAACACTTTCGTTATAAGAAGTTTGCGTGGGATTTTAAATTGATGATTAATTGTTATAATAATAAAGTAATTAAATTTGAAAATTATTCATTGAACATAGAAAAGTTCAAATTCCCACAGATGTATTTTTTACAGCAGATCTTTATATCGTAAAAAAGTGACTTTTCTATAATTTTTTACATAAAATGTGTTTCTCTTCCTATAGAAAAACTTTAGATCTCATAGAAGATCCTTATTTGTCTTCTATTCTCCTCCTCCACCATAGTATGGAGGGTATATTAAATTTGTAACACCTCGAAATATACATTTTAGGCCCCCCAAAGTATATATATTCTTGATCAACATAAAATTCCAAGTCGATTTAGCAATGCCCTAACAATGTCTGTCAATAACGGCAATATTCGGTATTTTTAAGATTTTAATAGAATTTTTAACTAATTTTTTTTTTGGAAAATTGTCAAATTCGTTCCGAATGGTGGAGTGTATTTAACGTTATAGCTTTTTTACTTGTTCTATAGAACAATCATTACCTAAAACACAGTTTTTTTAAGAAGTTGTCTTTATACCAAAAACGTGGATTTTTTCTGAAGGACTTTCATTAGCTAAATCGTAAATTTTTAGGTGTGGTTCTTTTAAAGACATTTTTTTAAGGAATATCTTTACGTAAAAAAAATATATTTTTAAAAAAAGTTGTCTGAAGGACATTCTCTACCCAAAGCGACAATTAAAAAACAGAAATCCGAAGGACTTTCATTAACTGAAACGTAAATTTTCAAGCGACGATTTTCAAGAATTTATCTGAAGGACCATCATTAGCTGAAACATATTTTTAATCGTGGATTTTTTTAAGATTTTCGTCCATTTTTAAATAATTTCTCTGAAGGACTTTCAGAGCCACAAAACGTGGATTTTCAAATAATTTTTCTAGTGGACTTGCAGAGCCATAAACGCGAATTTTTAAATAAACTTTCTTAAGGACTTTAGAGCTATAAATGTGGATCTTAAAACAATTTTCCTTCAGAGCCATAAACGTTAATTTTTAAATAATTTTTCTTAGGGCCTTTCAGAGCCACTAACGCGGATTTTGAAATAATTTTTCTAAAGGACTTTTAAAACCGTAAACGTTGATTTTAAATAATTTTTCTTAAGGCCTTTCAGAGCCACCAAAGTGGATTTTTAAATAATTGTTTCTAAAGAACTTTGAGAGCAATAAACGTTGATTTTAAAACAGTTTCTCTCAAGGACTTTCAGAGCCATATACTTGAATATTCAAATAGTTTCTCTAAACGATTGTCGGGACAATAAACGTGGATTTATAAATAGTTTCTCTAAAGGAGCAGTAAACGTGGATTTTCCAATAGTTTTTCTAAAGGACTTTCGGAGCCACAAACGTGGATTTTCAAATAGTTTTTCTAAAGGACTTTCGGAGCCATAAACGTGGATTTTCAAATAGCTTTTCTAAAGGACCTTCGGAGCACTGAACGTGGATTTTCAAATAGCTTTTCTAAAGGACCTTCGGAGCACTGAACGTGGATTTTAAATAATTTTTCTTAATGACTTTCAAAGCCATAAACGCGGATTTTTAAATAATTTTTCTTAATGACTTTCAAAGCCATAAACGCGGATTTTTAAATAATATGTCTTACGAACTTTCAGGGATTGTTTAATATTTTTTCTAAAGGACTTTCAAAGCCATAAACGTGAAATCTCAAACAATTTTTCTTCCGAACTTTCAGAGCCATAAACGTGGATTCTTAAATAATTGTTCTGTCATAACGCTTTTAGAGCTCTCTCTATCTCTCTTTCTCCTAAATTGCGAAATTCTAATATTTCTACAAACACTAAAATTAGCCTGAGGATGAAATTTGACGATTCATCCTTTCTGCTACCTCCCCAAACATAGTCAAAATTTGCAAATGAATCCGATTTAGTTGAAACATGGTATACCTTATATTTGTATAGAACTTAGAAGCCCGGTCCCTTCTGGTATCTCTCCAACAAAGGGTACAATTTTTAAACAACTTTGAGACGAACGGAGCTATGGGGTCCAAACTTTACACATTGTTGCATTTTTTGTCCCAGTAAGGCCGAGTGCTATAACGAAGTTTATTTCAGATCTATCCAGCCATGTCATAAATTTAGTTTGTCTATTGATGAGCGTTTGAGAGTCGGACCAGAATTTACACATACTGATCAAAATCCAATTCTTCGTGGATCTCCTGGCATATTTTTGGAATGTCCTTAATAAAATCGAAACAATCATTCAAACGCAAAATATTTAAGGCTGGACTTTCTACTTAAAATCCTTAGGTGTCAAGGAACGCTTTTTATACAAAAGTTTAATATATAATCTGCCAATGAAACGGACATAGAACATATTTTTCCATTCCAAATTTATAAATTTTGGCCGATAAGTTATGAATCAATTAGCGCTCTAACCAAATTATTCTTCAAAATTTTCGCTTATTCCTTTTGTTAAAAATTTTGAGTTTGTTTATATTTTACTAATTTTTTAACTAAATTATTTTACTTTTCCTTTCTCCTTTCAGGTATGCATCATAGGAGTCTCATGGTAACTTCTATTGCTGATAGTAAATTTATATATCTTTTTTAATAAATAATTTCAAATTTCGAGGTATATTGTAAAAATTGTTCAAAACAATTCGAAATTTAGCCAACATATTTATATTTTATAATGAAATTACTCATAAAAATTGTGATTAGATAGTAACTTCAAAGCGTCATGACCTAAGCGGAATGGATTAGATTACGCTAATAAGAAAGCGAAAGACATTGATAAGACTTTAATTTAGACATAAGTTCGAACAAATTGAAAGATAGGAAAAGTAAATGGATGATATCATGCATATTTACAGATAAAAAGATGGTCGAATATAAAAGTCCAAAGTGTTTAAAGTGTTACATTGAAGTCTTTTAGATATATCTCTCAGTTACTCGAAGAGAGCCAAATCTCAGAAAATTCGGTTATCCATTGACATTTTACATCCATTCTATATCTATATAGAAAATTATAGTCAAAGAGGTCACCAGATATAAGTGCTAGTTACAAGAATTAAGATATTTGAGTGCTTCATAAACTCAATATAATGTTTTTTTTGATTTCTTTTTTATTTCTGTCAAACTCCAAATAACTCATTGAGTTTTACAAATATCAACATTAAAATTTGGTAGAAATCGAATCGGATATTAATTTATTATTCGAAAAACAGAAATTGCAACTCAACAAATTATTTTGTCTTTTTTTTTTTGTGTCATTCTTTGAATAAATTAGCGGTTTGTAGTTTTCAAAGTTTTGGAGGAAATTTTAATTCATTTCATTTCATTTTTAGCCTTAGCTTTTTTTATTAAAATATAAAAGTAAAACATTAGATTACATGAGCTGAGCTGTTCATAAATAAAAAACTATGCTTATTTACAAAAACATTTCAAAAATTAATATAAACTCATTTCTAAAATAAAAAACTATTAACAAATTCGTAATGTTCTATATACACAAATTTCGTAAAAACAAAAGCACATTAAAAAACTATGTGGCCAAATCATCTTCGACATACAGATAACCCGGCAGATCCTTCGGTTCAATATAGTATGTACCCTGGACACCGCGGGCATAAGGCTTCGAGCCATTCGTTTGCAGGAAATAATCACCGGATATGTTTGTGGGACAATCGTGACCCATGACAACATGTTCCCTGTCATCATTGATGAGTTTGCCAACCTTAAAGTCAGACCAGTCTTTGGCTTTAACACAGTTAAATTTCACCGGGTATTCATTGGCTACACTTTCGGCCCAAAACCACCAGGAACGACGATGACTGGATAAATCATTGTCGCTTAACATGCGATAATTCCTCTTGGGACAGCCGGGTTGAAGAGTTTTCCCAGCATTTGGCCAAAAATCAGCTGTGCCGGTACTAAACGGAGCCCCATATAGCCAGGCATCGGTGTGTATGACATCAACAAATTCCGCATCGTGGCGGCTCAAGTGTTTGGCCATGCCCACTGTCATGTAGAACAAGGGGAATGCCGGATCCAGGGCGGAGACTCTTTTTAATTTTTTGGTCTTCTTACTGCGTGCATAGATCTCCCGGCCAATAATTCCAGCCATTTGACCGCCCAGCGAATGACCAACTATATGGAACTTTTCAATATCCAAGCCATTATCGAATTGTTGCAGCAAAATTTTTGCCAATACCGGACCCAGCTGCTTGGCATTTACCACAGCATCAAAGGCATAATTGCCATCGGCCAGCTCACCCCAGTCCAAAACAATGAGATTGGTGTCCGTTCGCTTCATGTAGGCATCCACAATGACATGGATACTTTCCACATCCACATTTTCCAAATAGCCATGTAAATAGAGGACGGTGTTTTTCGATTTATCAAATTTTTCATCATTCAAAATTGTTTGAAAATCTTCCAAATCATAGATGGCACTGTCCACATAGGTCGGTCCATAGTAATGGATGAACTTTGCACTGTGTAAATCTGCGGGGGCTTTACGTAAACCCAATAGCAGGCGAGATTTATTTTTGACAGCTTTCATGTCTTGTTTTAGATTTTTAACTTAGGCGAAGAGATTGTTGTTTTTGTAGGGCTTTCGTTTCGTTACGCGTCGAAGTTCTTCATTTACTGCTGGACGTTTTTCAAGTGACGTTGACAATTCATTTGCTTGCGGGCAATTATGCAAAACAAATCATAAAAATATTGATAAACCAGAGAAGATTTTCAAGTCCAAAGATTAGTTATTAAGCACGCACACATGCACAGCAGTTGTGTCAATTTTGTTCGTCTATTATCTTCTCCGGCATATGGGCCTACACGTTCCTAATATTTTTAATATTCGAAATAATCAGTAGCAGAGTCTCTCAAATAATTTAGTCTGTTCAGGTGGCGATCATCTCACAACAACATCAACACACAATCCACTAAATGGGAAACTATTGTACATTTAATTGCAGCTAAGTAAAGTGGCGGAATAAAGATACTCAATTAGATAATTCAGATGACAATACACGTCGCTTTCGGTAGTTGAGTGTCTGTTTATTTTTATTTGTAAACAGAATAGCAACAACAAATTGAACAACCAACCGACCGGACCGTACGCTATTGTTGTTCACAAAAGACTGGCGGTGTGTGTTTGGCATTATCTATTCAAAAAATATTTCATTGGTTTCTCTCTCCCTCTCCACAGTCAATAGTACGCTGTTGTTGCTCTTTTTTGGGGGCTCAGAGTAGTGTCGAAAAAACGGGGGTATGTTTGTTTGTGCAATTATTTTCAGAGTACGTTTTTCATATTTCGTCACAATCTTTAAAACAACAAAAATACATTTTAAACAAAAACAATGAGATCGACAAGGGTGTTGTGGGCAAGGGGTGGAAAGACCAAGATCAGTTGTTGTCACCACATGCCTACAAAAACACATGATGTTTGTATACGGGGTATGTTCAGTGGATGTTTCTTGCTCTCACAACCATTGTGTTACTTTTGCTTCCATATCTCTCTCACGTCATGTTTTTTATATTTCATTATTTATTACTTTTTGAGAGCGAACATCAATGATCAACAAACAATAAAGAATTTTGCCTCACATATTGTCTACCAAAACAATATTAAACAGATTGTAAATGTTTGTTGTTATCGGTCAAGGGTGACAAGTCGGGGCGCTATACTCAGCAGTGGTAGTCGTTTAATAAAAATGAAATATTTAGATATTTATAAAGAATAAAGAGTACACGAAGACATGGATCTTTATATCTAGGAACTTAATTCATCACCTGCATTAAAGTAATAACAAGTATAAAAGCAACTAGGTTCTGACGGGCCGAACTTTTGCATACCCCCTACCATTTGGAAGAAACTTGAGAATTTTCAAAAAAAAAGTTCGTCGAAAAATAACGCTCAAATGAAAACCGTTATATGGGTGCTATACGAAGTCGTGGTCCTGCATAAGTAATATGTGTCATAGGCTGTAGTAACGGTTCCGAATTTTATATAAGAAATTCGAAACAATTCCAGTGAATAATGTCGCAAAAATCATGAAAATACCGAATATCTGGGGGTACCGTTATATGGGCGCTATACTAAAACGTGGACCTATTTAGACAGTTCTCTTCCAAGGGGTAACGTACTCGGAAGGATCCGGGGAAGACAATTCCATTGAAAAATTTGGCTGAAATCACTAAAATATCGAATATTGGGGGTACCTTTATATGGGGCCTATACGATATCACAGACCTACGCAGACAATTCTCTTCTAGGGGATAAAGTACTCACAAGGAACTCCTTGTGTGAATTTTCAGTTTAATATTGAGCTTATTCCAGAGATCTTCTGCCACAAAACACAGAACCTAATATAAACTCTAATTTTAAACACTTTCCCACAAAAATGTGGCTAAAATCATCAGAATACCGAAGATCGGGAAGTATCTTTACTAGGGGGCCTATAGCAAAACATAAAGCCATGTAGGAAATGATCTGCCACAGGTGGTAGAACTCATTACAAACTATAAATACAGAATTTTAAATAATTTCGTTTGAAAATGTAGTTTAAATCGTCTAAATAATGAAGGTTATATTAAGGCTATAAAAAAACGTGGATCTATAAACAATGTAACCACAGTAGGTAGACCCCGTTACAAACTGTAATTGTGTAAATGTAATTTAAATTTTCAAAACCCGAATACCGGGAGGTACTATTTTATTGTATACTAACTTAACCTGTCTACGGACAAAATACATATGTGTTTAAAAAACAGCAAAAAAAAATTCAGACTGCTGTCAGTTCTAAGCCACTCGTCGGAAGCTGTTAAAATTATTCCAGTGAATAATTGCTTACAAGCGTACAAAAGCATTTTGGTGAGTATTTTCCAGAAAAAATTATTCGTGATGGAATTCATGATAGTGTGATTTTTTTATATTTGTCTGGAAAACCACAAGTGACTATCGTTAGAGCACTCCAGCATTTAAATGTGCATGAATCCTCTGTGTGTCGTATCATCGCTCGTTACCGTGATACTGGTAGCGTAGCCCGACGTCAAGGAAATGGACGGAAGAAAACAGAAACATCAGTAGAAATGGTTCGAAATGTAAAAAAACGACTTGATCGAATCCCGCGTCGCAGTGGCCGAAAAATAGCTCGTGAGCTAAACATATCGCAATATTCCATTCGGCAAATATTGAAAAATAAGCTCGGGGTAAAGCCATTGAAATTGCAAAAAGTGCAAGAACTTACACCGCAACAGAAAGAAAATAGACTCAACAGAGCTAAAGAGTTGTTTCGCTGGTCAAAAGTGGCGAACTGCCGAATTTTGTTTTCTCCGATGAGAAAACATTCGTTGTCCAGCAGCTTGTAAACAAACAAAATTATCGTGTTTACTTGCCAAAGAGGTCAGCTGTAAATGTGCACCTTCGGTTGGCCACTAGAACTCAAGCGCCGGCCATGATGATGGTTGGGACGCCATAACAGCCGATGGTCGCTCTCCGCTCGTATTAATCGACCGTGGCATCAGAATAAATGCCGAATATTATCGCGAAAATATTCTGGAGGATGTATTGAAGCCTTGGGCACGCAAACATTTTGGCCGCAGACCTTGGACATTCCAACAGGACTTAGCACCATCGCACTCAGCACGCGCCACTCAAGAATGGTTACAAAATGAGGTTCCTCGCTTCATTTCCAGCGCACAATGGCCACCAAAATCTCCGAATACCAATCCGTTGGACCATTGTGTCTGTAGTATTTTGGAAAGCAAGGTTGGTACTCAAAAATACCAAAGTGTCGATCACCTCAAGCAAGCGCTTCGCCGGGAATGGGCCAAAATACCGCAAAGCAACATTCAAGCAGCGTGTGACCGTTTGAAGGCCATAATTCGTGCCAAGGATGACCAATTCGAACAAATCTAAACTTATTCAATAAAATTAAAAAAAAAAATGTAAAAAATATTGCGTTTTACTTTCTTGCAGTTTTTTTATCTCACCCTGTATATAATGCCCTAAAACATAGTGTTGCGGGGTGTAGAAAAACTTTAGAAAATGTACAATACAAAGTTGAAAGTCAAATTGAGAAAATTGCATGCGATAAAAATATGAAAAATATTGAAAAAAAAAAAAAAAACAAAAAATATTTACTTTAACATTAACATTTCTGCAAAAACAATTGCAATTGTTTTCAATATGGCTACGGTAGCATGCAAATAAATAATAATCACACTCCATCTGATATTTTCATTAACTCATTACTTTATGCTCCAATAACTTTTATATTATATAACAAATAAACAATATTGCTTCCATTAAATGCTTTGCTTACGCAATAAAATTGAATTTCCACATTTCCAGTAGCGGGGGAAACAATTCCATTAGTTTTTTTTTTCGCTAAGAGACAAAATGGAAATATACAGCAAACTCAAGTCTTCTTCTTCTTCAAAAAAATACAACTATGATAAATAAGTATTCTCAATTAAAAATGAAAAACCAACACCAACACTACTTCTAGTTTTGTTGTGCGCCGATTGATCAGAGTCTGATGCACAGACAACGTTTTGTCGTTACGTGTTTTTTTGGGACCTTGCACGATACGAGTATGTTCACCATCACTGATTTTGTATTTGCTAAATTTTATGCAATCCCAACAAAGCAAACAACCAACCGGTGGACTAACTAGGCAACTCATCTACTCTGTACTAGCTCGAACCAAACGATCGATTGCTCTCTGTCAATCATTGCGACAGCAACAGTTTTTGCAATTTAATTTAGTTTAATTTACGGTCAATTCATTCTTTTTTGTTTCTTTTTCGTTTTGAAATAGAAACGAAATCAAAACATAAACTCAAGACAACTCAAGTACTGCAAGTGGTTCCGAATCAATTGAATATGTAAACACAGTGGGTTTGGAAAGAGGGGTTAGAAGAACACTGGCAACCAGCCAGAAAAAACAATGAAGTCGCTTCAATTAAATTCATTCATTAATGAATGGTATGCAGAATGTGGAATAATGGGGTGGAGTGGAATACCATCTACTAAGTAAAAAATTAAATATTGTACATAAATATATATAAACCAGTAAAGAAAGTCTTAAAGTCGGGCGGGGTCGACTTTATGATACCCTACAGCACTTTGCTAATTTAGTAGAGCTCCGCATAACAATTAAAAGTTTTTATGGGAGAATTCAATCATACGCGCTATGATTATAATTATAATTTAAAATTCAAAGGACTAAATATGCCGAAGCATATATTGCATTGCCCATTTGGTGCACAATTAATTTGAAATCGGATAAAAATATATATGGAAGCTATATCCAAATCGGAACTGATCTCGATAAAATTTGGCAAAGATATTTCTGAGCTGTATTTGATATATTTCCCTAAATATCGTTGTTACAGAGTGCATATTACCGCTGTGGGTAACAAATATAACAAATCGGATAAACAATATATATATGGGAGCTGTTGCTATATCTGAACCAATCTTTACCAAATTTGACATACTAGCTTCGAGACTCAATTCGGTCGCAAGTGCCAAATTTCAACGCATTTGGGCAAACATTAGACGTTTGATGTACAATCAAAGGTAAATCGGACGAAGTTATATATGGGAGCTATATCCAAAACTGAACCGATCTTGATAAAATTTAGCAAAAGTATTTCTGAGCTGCATTTGATATATTTCCCCAAAATATTGTTGTTACAGAGTACATATTACGGCTGCGGAGGACAAAAGTAACAAATCGGATGAACAATATATATGGGAGCGATATCTGAACCGATGTCGATCAAATTTGTCATACTTATTTTCAGGTCCAATCTGATCGTACGTGCAAAATTCCATACTATTCGGACTGATATTACACGTTTGGTGCACAATAAAAGGCAAATCGGACGAAGATATATATGGGAGCTATATCTAAATTTTGACCGATTATCTCCAATTTCAATAGGGTTCGTCCTTGGGCCAAACAAATGATTTGTGCAAAATTTCATCTGGATAGGGCAATAAATGCGATCTGTACTTTGTTTACAAAAATACATGGACACATGGACGGGCGGACATGCATAAGTCGATCTCAGAATGTGATTCTATGCAGATCATCAAAAGGAACTATGGGTTTATCTTGTTTCCTTTTGCCTGTTACAAACAA